AAAAAAAAAAAACGGGGGAGACAGTCACAGTCTGTGTACTTGTGGGTACTTTTTTTTAAAAGGAAAAAATTGTGCTGAAAAGGTGAGAAGCATTGCGTCCAGCCATTTTCCAGAAGCGCTCCATACCACAAGAAACAAAACGACAGGAAGGTCGAAACAAATGAGAACAGGACTCGGAGAGAGAGAGAGAAGTTACCGCCACCACGACAGCAGCGGCGGCCGCACACTCTTCCCCAAGCATAATCATTCCTTTTCCCGTCGTGTGATGTGCACATCTTGTAGACTCCGTCCTCAGATGTAAAATGCATCTCTTCTTCGTTTTGTTGTTGTTGTTGTTGGAAGCCGGCTCGCATCGCGCAGTTGCAATTCCCCCCTTCTCTTTTCTTCTATTTTCTCTTTGTTTTTNTTTTTTGTTTTTTTTTTTTTGTTTTTTGTTTTTTTTTTTTTTTTTTTTTTGGGGGGGGGGGGGATTTATGCCCCTCTCTATTTCTCGGTCGTTGTTGCTGTTGTTGTTTTCTTGGTTTCCGCAACGGGAGCCTTTCGCCAGAGCCCCGCCTCCCTTCAGCGCAGCGGCGCCACAGCCCCAGCAGGCCAGTGATGCCTGCAAGCAAAAGGCGGACGAGTTCTCAGAAGAAGGTTCAACCAGAAAGAAATATACGCTCTAATCGATACAACTTTTCCCACCCACAGACACACAGTCCCTGTCCATACATTAGTTATCTCTCCAAATTTTTGTTGTTTCGTTCCACCACCATCAGCCGCACCCCTTTTTTTTGTGTTTTTGTTCCGCTGTCGGTGCTGTTTGATTTCCAGTGACACCATTACCGGGCTTCTTCCCTCCCGGTTCATGATGCCTCAGCGCAGGCATCCCTCTCCACCAGAAGCAAGACTGCAGCCACACCACGTGCCGCACGCACCCAATCCCTCTCGCCCTTTCTCTCCCTCTCTCTCTCTCTCTCCGGCACTGCCCACTCCCCCCCTACACGCAACCAGGCAAATAAGCAGAAACAAAAATCCGGGGTTGGAGCCAGCATACATGGACGCTGCAAGAGAGAGAGAGAAGCAGGGGAGGGGAGGGGAGTGAGAGAATTGAGGCATCAACAATTGTAAAAAAGAGGCATAAAAACGAGAGAAAAACACAGAATACGAGTTGCACCCACTTCCTCAAGCGGATGCGTAGGGAGGGGCACGAAGGAAAACACACCAAAAACAACAGGGACAGCACAAGACTGGAAAAAGCAGCAAGCAGCAAAACAGATTCACAGCCACCACACAACGACAAACAATAACAACAACAACAAAAGAAACAAAATCACAGCCGCATCGCATGTTGTATTCCATCGACCGGAAAATACAGTGCAGGAGACCTGTGGCACACACACACACACACACGTGTTTCCCTTCGTGAGGGGGCACCGCCTCGTTCTTTTCGTTTCTTCGGCTCCACAGCAGAAAGCATCTCCACGCAAAAAAAAAGGGGGGGCGAAGACAACCAAGGAATCACACACAGGAAAACAACAGCAAAAAAAAAAGAAGCGTGACACACAAACACAAAGAAACGAACCACAACAAGGAAGAAGCAATCGGGAGCATGAGGTGAGATTCCACGCACATGCTCCTCAATCCTTCCTTGCCCCGTCTTTCATTTGCCTTTATTCCTTCCATTCGTACTGGTACAACACCCTCCACAGAAACAAAGCTGGGGAGCAGACACCTGACGTGCCACAACAACTGTACATCTCTTGAATACCTCGTTTGTTCGACTTGACCCATCACATGGATGGAGAAGAGTTTCCACCCCACCCCACACATACGAAACCTTTATTGTTGATCTCGCTAGTCCCTGCACACACAAATACACACACACATACTCATATATATATATATATACTCCCCACACGCGGAGACACAAACATAGACACAACGCAAGAGGTAAAATAAGAATTTGTCTGAAACAAGCAGCACGGCGGACATCACAGACTCATTATTACATCTACAACGTCCTTCCTTGTTGTTGTTTTTGTATATCCCGCGACGAACTCTGTGGAATAACATAAATAAAAAACACGTGTCGTTCTCGCCCGCTTCTTTTTTTTTTCCCACCGTGTGTAGCGGAGAAGGTTCCACACCTCCGTCCCCAATAACTCCGGTAAGTCACATACTCATTCCTCGCCGAGTCGTAGACATCCCAGAGCAGAGGCGGCTCGGGCCGTTTGGGTACGCGAACGCGCAACGGAGCGGACTAATTCCCATTGCCATGCCTTTTTATCCTCGTCATCATCTTCCTCCTCCACCTCATCCCCATGCGACTTGCTGGCAGATAAACACTTATCGATCATTGCGTTACTTTTTTCACCCTCGGTCATTGTCGCTGATCGTGGGGGCGGTGCCGGCAACAGTGACGATGAGGAAGCCACTGCGGGTGTCTGTGGTTTGTTCACACTGGGAGTGGGAGTGATTCCACTGCTTGCCGAGGTGTCCCGCGTCGACGCTACGTGCGAACATGACGACATACCCCCACTTTCATTGCCAACGCGGGAAGAGACAGCACTCCCACTACTAATGTATTTGGCCCAGCGCTGCAAACCAGAGTCTCTCGACTCCACACGGCGCATCAAATTCTGTTTATACAAATCCCACTCATCCTCATCCTCATCAAAGAGTGGAATGTCATCACCAGGCTCAGCACGTAACGGCAAAGCATCGGGGGAATTCAGTTCACCTGTTGGGAGAGGTGAATTTGCATCTATTCTCACCACTGCAGGAGAGGACGTACCCATACCAGATGAGTCATGATGGTGAGCACTGCTACTCTCTCCATTGCTGCTGCTGTTGGCACTGCTAACACTGGTGGTTACTTGTGACGGTCGCAGCGGTGGAAGGCCGCGGCGAAGACCGGCACCGCCGCCCACCAGCACACGACCCGACGTCAGTGAGGACACAAATGGCGATTGCAACGAGGCAGGTGGAGTAGGTGTTATGCGGCCATTGACAGGCCACCTGACATCACCACTGCTGATACGATTAGACCCACTGAGCGAACGAAGCACTCTTTGTGAGGAACTGCAGGGACGCTGGGAACCCTGAGAATTGGCCAAGGCGGATCCACAACGACGCGCACCTGCAGAGGAAGTCTGAGGTCTCGAGCACACAGCTCGCGTTTCTTCCGCAACCGCCTCCTCCAGCGCATCAAAACCGCATTCACGTATACACTTTTGCAGGAACATGTATTCATCGCACAGGGCAACATTTAAGGGGTCAACGTGGGTATGTAAATTCTTCTTTCGTGCTGCGCCGCCTTTTCCGCCCTGCTTCTGCTCGCGCCCTGAGTTGGGGGAACTTCTAAAGTTGAGTGCAGTGTCGTCCAAGTACTGAAGGTCTGGCATCAGAGAGCGCACAAACTCACGGAACGACTTGGAAAGGTAACGGTTCCCTGCTCTATCATTGTTTGTTTTACTCGGGATAGATTGACGCATCACGACAGGATTCCCTTGTAATGTTAAGTATTTTACCTTCTTCAGGAGCGGCAGGCATCGTATCAGAGACGTGGTATCTTGTATCTCGTTTCCCTCCAAATCCACCACTTCAAGCGTTTCGCTCAGGTCTAAAAGCGGTGTAATGTCGTGCACCGAATTAAACGCAGCGTAGAGTTCCTCCAGTACTGGGACACATGCACCAATACCACGCAGGTTTTCCAAGTGTGAGCTGCCAAGCCAAATTCGTTTTAAATTCATAAATTTTGTCCCAAGTTGACGTATCTGGGGGATCCGGGAATTGTTCAACCTGAGTGAGTTCAAAAGGGGCAGCCTTTCACCAAGTGTATCGATACCCACAGTGCGCAATGCATCCACACGGAACTCCGCACTGAGCACCAAGTGAAGATCCTCCCACCCCGTCCATTCTCGCAGCATGTCATCTGTGAGAACATCCCCAAAGACAACACTACTATTGACCCCCATTTCGTCCACATCGTGGCACTCTGTGGAAGCGCTCGCAGCCCCGTGTCCTACAACAACGTTTGACACAGGAACGAAGCGGGACAGTGATTCAAAAGAACTAACACATGACGTATTTGAAAGCCGTTGAGCAATTAGCTTTTCATGTTGACCCATGGCCAACTCGCCACCGTTTGAAGGAATAAGAGGTGCCTTTGTACATTTTGCACGGCTACAGTTTTGGGTGCTAGTCATTAAGGGACGTTTCTTTGCTCTAGAGGTGCTAGCAACCGCCGGGGACGCGGCATTAGAGCGCTGACGAGGGCTGGAATGCAACGAGGAGCAGGGCTCCCGCCAACGTCCCTGCTGTCGCTGCAGAAGCGGGGAGAGTCTGCTACCGCCGCACGACTTGCCACACCCCATCGGCACGTGCGCATCACACTCCACTCCTTCAGCCCGCGGAGGGAGTGCTTTGGCCGACCACGCCGGCGGGGGTTTCCGCGCGACGGGCATCTACTTCAAAGTCTCTTCGTTCTTCCACAGGCCCGCACGTCTAGCAGAATAAGCTCTTCCAATCGCCGTGGATAAAGGTATCCCACAAAATAGGATAAGGGTTGTTGTGCAAGTATATATGGAATTATATATACCGATCTTCACTATTCTAAGCCTTCCGTTTATTTTCACTAGCACCTCTTCCTCTATTTTCCCGTTTTTTTGTTTCGTTTTCTTTCTTCGTTGCCTTTTTGCTATCGCTCGCGTATATTCCCCCTTTCTTGTCGGAAAAAAAAATCTCCTTTGTGTAAAACGGCAGAGGGTGATGTGATGGTGAACAGTAAATTCACTCCTCCTCTCCCTGCCCTCGGTCACCCACTGCTTACCTGTGTTTACGACAGTCATCACGCAAATGAGAAATACAAAAAGACAGACATATGGATAGATGAGTAAATAAATACATGGATAAGGAGTAAATGCCATGAAGAAAAAGGCCACACTTGCCCCCTTCCACGCAGTGACGTGCATAATAGCTCACCATGAGAGAGTGAGGGTGCGTGAATAAGCCAAAAAGGAGTTGACAGGAAATGGGGAGAGTGAATTCCCCACACTGCACATCTTTCAACCTCTCATTCTTCTTTTGTTCGCTGGCGATCATTTTTTTTCTTTCATTTGTACATCGGCATAACTCCATCCATGACTACAACAGCTACGGCAGCGACAGCGGATGTGTTGAAGAAGTAGAAAAGAGAGAGGAAGCGTACATCTGTCTATTTTGTGTGTGTGTGCGTTGTGCTTGTGGGAGCTCCCCTGTTAACACACGAGGAAACTTCGTAGACACACAGGCACAGAATACATTGGCGGCCAGCAAGCTAACCACCATACACACAGGTGCACGCACGCACACACAGATATATGCGAGATATAAGAAGGGAAATAAAGGCCCACTAGAACATTTTTGGTGTGTTTTTTTCTTCATTTTTTTTTTGGTTACTGTGCATTTGGGTGTGGCTGTTGTTGTTCTGGTTACTGTATTTTCCATGCGGTTCCAGGTTACATTCTTTACATCGCCGTCACCTCGTTGTCGTTGGAATTTTCCTCCGTCGTGGCGTCATTTTTGAAGTACACACCATCGCCGCTAATGACCAATATTTCCTTGGGCACATACCGCTCACGCAAGCGTCGCACCGCCTTACTCGCCGCCTCCATCTCCCTCTCCATCCGCGACCGCGCCACGTCCCGCAGAGTGCGCTCGCGCGCAATGTGCTCGGTGAGCAAATTGTATGGCGGCGGTGGTACCTCCACTGCCACCTCCTGCGCTTCCGCCTCCATGAACGGGTCGCACTGCTGCTTCCTGTATTTATAGCGTGCCCACATCAACTGAATGGTCTGTGCAGCACAGTTAAGCAACTTGTTTTGCCACGCTGTCTCTTCCCTGATAAGTTCCAGTTTGGCGTTTGCATAGGATCGATTCTTGTACGCTGAACGCTTCTCCACACCTACCTGCGCTCGGCGCATCCTTCGCAGTGTCTGGAATACGCGGAACCCACGCTGAATTGTGCGCACCTTTATGTCAAAATAATCTGTTGTGATCTTCAGCGTTTCCTTCTTCCATCCATCCCATTTGTATTTCGCCAAGCGCTGAATCATGCCCGCGTTGTGGTCAAAGTCCTTCTCACGAAGGCCATCACGCTTCCATTGGAGGCGATCCTGCACCTCAGGCTGCGCGAGAGTGAGGGCGCGTTGCTCCTCACGCACCCGCATCGCATCGTTAATCACCTTCGCTTCCTCAACCGTGGCTGGGAAAATCTGTTTGCGTTCCTTGCGGAACTGAAGCGAAGAGGACCGTCCCTTCGTGCCAGGCGCCTTGCCAGTATCACTTGACGTAGTCGACTGTGAACCATTTGTCTTTGCGTTGGATCTCCGGCGCCACGGGAAGTACACCTTCCTGCGGCGCCTCAGTGGGAATGGCAGCCTCTTTGGGGCAGCATAGTCGACGTTGTTGTCTTGGATCTGAGGTATGCCGATGGTCGGTCGATTGCTGAGGTACCACCGAATAACACGCTGCAACTTGATCACTGCGTCCTCCAGCCGCTTGCGTTGCCACGCCATCATAAGGTCATAACCCTTCAGCCGATCCTTTACCATTTTTTCCCGCCGACTCGCCGCCCACTCCTCACGGAGGTTATGCAACATCCGACGCTTCCAAATGGCGCGGAGGCACCGCCACCAACACTGGATCATGGTAGCTCGCCTTGTGCGCACTTCATAGTAATTGCGCTCGTTGCGCAGGCGACGGCGTGTGAGGACGCCACGCCACATGCGTGCCACTTGAGCCTGTGCCCAATGTTCCAGCGGCCCCGCAAGCGATATGTCGTTGCGGTACTTATGCCCTGGACGCGGTGGGGGTCTGTAGCGGCCCATGAGCATCGACGGCGGCACTGGTGGGCAGTAGAGAGTCCGCATAGGGAACATTACGTCCTCGAACATGCTGTTAAACACAGAGTGGGGAACCAAGGCACCACTCGTTGGGGCTGTCGTATCTAACATCAGTGTGTGTTAACTCTCAAGCAAACAAGGTATATTTTTGTTTCTGCTTTGCTTCTTTTTGCTCCCTTGTTACGTGCAAGACTTTTTTTTATCACAACAGAGCCAAGAGAAATCAACCACTTAGAGAGGCGACAGAAACAACAATAGGAGCTAATCGTGGAGGAAAGAGCCCCACATGCACTCCGCATGCGCAATTCCCCGCAGGAGAAACCCAGAATATAAGGCGTCACTCTACCAAATGCCACAACCCCTTCACCCTAAGCCCCCACACAGAGTGGAAAGGAGTACATTACACTCCAACCACTACTCATATCCTACCTCAGCCTCTTTTCCCCTCAGAGTCCTTCCTCCTTTTTCTTTCATATATATATATATATATATATTTCCCTCATCAGTCCCTTTTTGATTTTCCGTTAAAGGTGTGGACGAGGGTGGCAGCAAGGGCACTGAAGAAAACAATTATCGCTAGCTCCTCAGGTGTGTTTTTTGCTGTCACATATACACAGATTTCTTTTTCTTTTTTTACCTACACGCACTGCCGAAATTGAACAGCTGTGTGTACGCGACCCCCCTGAAAGCAAAATAAAAAAAAAAAATTAAGAGAAGATTCATGTGAACTCCGCTACACTCTCAATTTTGGCCGTGTGGCGAACCCCAGAATGAAATGGTACAGCATGTAAGCAGCAACACGCGGGGAACGGTAGTCCTCCACAACGGGATTCAACTCGCTCATGTCCATCAGCTTCACTGACGGGTTCTTACCAGCTGCAAAGCACATATCAAAGGCCTCCTGCGCGCTTAGACCAACAGCACCCGGAGCGCTGACGCCAGGCATATCACTGGACCGCAGGGAATCCACATCAAAAGAGAAGAAAGTGTTCTTTCCAGTCAGCCTGAAGGCATCTTCCAAAGCTGCGACAGCACCCTTTTTCTGTACCTCGCTCAGCCACATGAGATGACCCTGGTGACTCTTCACAAACTCCGCATGTATCGCGCTACATTGTGATCCTTGACATGCGAACTCCACAAACCGACTTCCTGAGAAACTTTTCTCCTCAAGAAGTTGACGAAAAGGAGTGCCGCTGTGAACCCTCCCGTCAGAGAGAGGCGGCCGAACATCCAAATGAGCATCGATATTAATGACACCCACATCCCCATCAAAGGCGCGCAGCAGCGCACGACCATTGGGAGCCGATTGGTCATTCCCACCTCCAATCACAAAGGGAAACGCCCCCATGGCGAGGACCTCGGCAACTTTTTTCTCCAACTTTGCATGTGCCGCTTCCAACGTATCTGCAGTGATATCACCAGCATCAAAGAGCTTCACATGACTGGCGTCTACATCGAGCTCCATGTTCTTCACAGTCCCCAACTTGTTCAAAAATGTCCGAAACGCGGTGGGGCCCTTAGCAGCACCGGCACGTCCACCGTTGCGTACACACCCTTCATCAAAAGGAAATCCAATGATCACAATATGGGCATCCTCCACGCGCTGCGCGGAGAACAATACACCTGTGCGGGGATCATCTGAGCGTGCAGCCATACTTCACTGCCAGCCAGGTATTTGATAATAATGAAAACAATGGAACACTCTTCATGGTGACAAACCCAGAGAGAGAGAAAGAGTGAGATGGGGGAAATAAAATAAAACGTATAGATGGGCGTCAGAAAAAAAAATCAATATGAGGCTACTCCATTACCGGGCTGAATTCGCTACACAAAAAAAACCGTTTTGTTTGACCACAACACGGAGGACAAACACCACTTAGCCATGCTCCTCGTTGTTTAACCTTGACAAAAGCCATGACGCGGCCACGAAACACTCATGCCGTGGTTTCTCTCGTTAACCTCCTACACACACTGCGTAAGGAAAGTAATAGTTTTAATTTGCGGTTCCACGAATGAAAAATGCAACGTCAAGACGGGTCTGGCCCTTTTTTTCCACACGCTCCCACCGCGCATAAAAACAGAAAAAAGATGAGTAGTAAACGAAGTCACAAATCGTACAATTTTTTTATTCCTTTACCACAATCAGATAACAGTACTTACCATACAAAAGGTAAATCAAAACAAAAAAAAGAAGCCGATGTCCTTTCAAAGGACCACGTGGTGGTTAGAGGAGACAAAAAAAAAAACACCTCCAGTTTCACACAACACCAGGAGGTGGATGCTTCAGTAATGGTAGCCACCTTTCCCACCGGGAAACCAGATCTCATGGCTCGGGTGCGCAATGGCCTCCACGCACTATTTAGTACAACGACCCGCCCTCCTGGCGCTGCAGCACACATTGTTAAACCCTGGGCATTCCTCGTTTGCAGCACAATGCGGCAAAGCACTCAGGTATCCAATACTAGAGCCGTATACATCTGGAAACGGTTTTTGTTCACCGCTCTTGTTTTCTTTTTTGTTTTGGATTTGTGGCAGCGCAGCCCCCATGGTGAGGGACTGCATGCCGCTCCGCCTTGGCGAATCCACCAAATCGTTTGTAGCGGGGTTTGGGAGCAGCGAGGCGAGCGCGGGTGCAGCACATAAAGCTGCGGTTTTCACATTCTCGACAAGAATGCCATTAGGCACGACCACAGAGTAGCGATGCAAGGTAAGTAGCGGTAGTAATCTGATCATCGAGAGAAAGAGACGACAACGACGATATCGGCTCCCCACTTCGCTGCGAGGAAAAAAAAAAAGCTGTGCGGCATCGTCTGCACGAATAGACAGATGTGGCACACAAGCGGGCCTGGCCCTGTGCCACAACGCCACTCACTTCTCTGCCACAAAAGAATCACCTTGGTGGCTATGCGTCATTTCGGGCTTCTGTATTTACAGTAATTGCGTGGAGAGAACGAAGCAAGGCAAAAACCGAAAAACAAAAAAGCTATACCAAATGAGTTTTCAAAGGACTCAACGGGACGTGCTCACATCCTCACCTGTGTCACATCGACTATTGCACGCTTCACCACCTGTTACCTACCGTCCCCTCTCGCGCCGTAGCCATCCACGCTGTGCAAAGAACCGTCTCTTACTCTGTTTGGGATGCTCTGACTGCTCCATCTGCCCTGTGTGTGCCGTTTGACTGGGGGGAGGTGAGCACGATGACGCTGAGCGTTGAGTCACACTCAAATTCTCGTTACCAGCACCCTGGCTGAGGCACACACGACGCGTCGCATCGAGTGGAATACCACTCTCCTCTAGGAGAGTCTCTACGCGGTGACGGGACACATGAGGAAAGTCCGCCTGTACGACACTTGCTGCCGCCTGAACATCCGTGGGTTCCATCAGCAACAGTTGTTCATAGACGGTAAGACCAGGGTGCACTGCGTTGCGTGTCGTGAGCGACGAATTACTTTGCATCGATGTGGAGAATAATTCGCTCCTGGGCCTATCATTCCCATCTGTATTCATGGCGGACACTGCCTGCCGCTCTATGCTTTCTGCTGTCTCGCCGGCCAAGCTAGTGATGACACAGCGCACCACTTCCTCCGCTTCCTCTGCCTTCGCCAAGCGCCGGTGTTCCTCCAGCTGCTGGCGCGTCAAGGCAAGTTGTGTCTTGACCAAGTCTGCTGCCCGCACCCGTTCGTACGGCGGCCCACCAGAGAAGCGCGGCAGCCGGTGGAAGAAAGCCGGCACGACCTCATGCATAAATTTGCGGCGAGCAAGGAAGAGTCGGAGCGCCTCACGCATATGTTCTGTCAATGCAGAGCGTCTAAGATCGCGCCACTCCAAGTCGTCACCTTCTGGAGGTGGTAGCAGTGCTGATACACTGCTTTGTTCCTCATTCCCCGGTCGGTGGGGCGAGAGTGAGGAATGATATTCCCCGTAAAATTGCCTCCTTGACCGTTCATCCATTGTTTCTCCCTCCTCGTCAGTGTCACCTTCACACACAATAAAGGCGTCACCAGCACCACAACTACCACCATCGCCCATCCACCAGCCGTTACTGTTTTCCTCATGCGTACTTGCATTACGCTCCTTGTTTCCGTCTTCTGAACGAGCACGCATAGAACAATCAACTTCACGAGTCTGCCGCTCCTCTTCATATTCCCTGTATGCTGCCGAGTTGTAAATATTCAGGCCAAGTTGCATACACCACTTTCGCAACTCTTCATAACTCATAGCCATGACTATTTGTGGTGTCAGCTGTTCGACAGACGTATTCACTTCGTTGCTAAAGTTGTGCAGAGTTGCACTCACTGTATTCTTCACCGGCAGCGGTGGTAAGCCTCGAGGAGCTGCTGGTCGCTGGGGTGAAATAGTTGCCATTGTCCTCCTTGTCACCATCCTCGTCATGTCACGTTCGTCTAGGTTCTTCTCTCCAACATCGATGTCGTCTGCTTGGTCCTCATTCGGCTGGAGTCTTGAAATCAAATGCTGGACGTCAGTAAGTATGCTACTGGCCTCCGTCCAATCCAGTGCTGTGGCACGACTGCGTGCAGCTGTGGAAGGGCACTCTCTGTTGGCATCACCACTAAACTCCTCCGTGAATGACATGGAGGAGTTCCGTGACACCGCCCGCTGCCGCTGGCGCACAGGCTGCGTGCACACACGGAGATGCTCCTCCTGAGAGAATAAGGCGTCCATCGCCATAGGACTGCTGTGCGTTCTCAAGAAGTTGGAAGAGTCACCCAGAGCAATACCACCATCATCAGCGTTGCCAAAAAGGTCAACACTATCATCATCACGCAGCAGCGAACGCATCTCTTCTTCACCACTACGTGTAGAGGAGAGCGCATCAACGTCAATAACCTGACTATCCACAACAGTTCGGGGTTTCCCGTCACCGACAAACACCTCCCCACCAAACGTGGGGCGCCAGTTCAGAGAGATTGTCTCGGCGTCATCTTCCTCTGCGGGGCTTTTTGAGCCTACGTGTCGGGGCGATAGCGCTTCAAAAGGCCTGACAACATTAGTGTCTACTTCTTCATCATCATCATCGGAATCAGAATTATTAGTAGTGTGTGTAGTCGCCTCAGTCCTGTAAAACGACTGTTCGCCGTTACCGTTTCCACCTTCAGCGACTGGAGGAGGTTCAACCGTCTCTCTATCCCCCTGAGACACTGGAAGTGTCACTACATTTTCCGCCTCGGGTATTAGACCTGCGAGAAAATCGAGGCACCCATTGTTTTCGCTGAGACGTGACACCACGTCCTGGGCGTCACGCGGTGTTGTGCTTTGCACCCTTGCATAGTCCTCTAGCGCCTGCACATCCGTATTCCTGCGGCTTCCTCCATTCGGTGTCGTCAAATCACTGAGGCTCGGCACCGCTCCCTCACCAATGTTGCCTGAGGGAGGAGAGATAATCGTTGTGTTCGCCAACAAGGACGGGCGAATGCTTTCGCGGAGAGCCTCGCTATCCCGAGGACACTCGGACAGTCTGATGTTGGCATGAAACTGAGGCACGCTACGCATCGTGCTCACACTAAAGTGGCCTTCGTCCCCACACCTATCAACAGGTTCACCACACTCAGCAGAAATTCCCGCCTCACACGGCTCAACGGGGCGAACGTCAACTTTCACTTGTGGCTCTTTCCAAAGCTCCAGCGCCACCTGAAGAGTAGTCGCATCTTGAGTTATGCACAACTTATCGGTTGTCCCCCCAAGTGTGGTGCGGACCCGTTGCTGTAACAATTGAAGTCCCTCATTGTAAGCTGCAACAGCCTGTTCTACAGATAAAAGCATATCTTCACGAAGCTTTTTGTGCTCCGCAAGGCACTGCCAAATCGTTTCGCTAGGGAGTGTGCTGATTTCTGCTTGCGGCGGTGTCATGACTGAAGGAATCGAATTCTCCGACGGCACCACATCCACAGAATGGAGCCCCCACACGCCTGCTAGCTCATCCTCGCCCATTAAGTCCTTACCTGGCCCCACTGACAGGGAGGCCAGAGGCATTTGCTCACGGCGACAACGCTTCTCAGGATACTGGTACGAACTGCAAAAAGGACTCAACGAAGAGGCCCACGACTCTGATCGACGAGGCATGGCATTGTTGTGTTCAGCCACTTCCGTCTCGTCATCAGGGCCGCGGTCACTCGGCGAAAAAGCCACTATTTCTTCTACGGTGGCGGGGCTGTTATTGCACATGTGCGCGGACTGCGGCTTTTCCACGGCGGTTTCATCACTCCTGTACCCCTGGAAAGCAAACTGTCGCATGAATTGAGAAGGTGTGCATACGTCGAGGTCACCAAATCGTTTGTTTGATGTGATGCGGGGCCCCTCCGACGCAACAACAGGAGCAGGAGCACTTGTAATAGCATTATCGACACCAGTCCCAGACGCCGCTACTTTCTTCTTGTTTTCACACTTCCTAGCCTGCTCGCGTCCACGCTTTGCCGTAGGCCGTTTCCATTTGCATATGCCCTTCCACAGTTCTTGTCGGTGCTGCAAGGAGGCCTGCGCTCCGAGAAGCTTTTCAACGTCGTCCTCGCACGTCACTCGCGCAGCGAGATCGTCAATGTGGAGCATGCCACAGGACTCGATAAGCCGTGAAGCGTAACCCTGAAGCTGCAGAGGCGACAGGAACTGCACAAGAGCGTTTGACAAGGTGAGGGCGACGTGGGGAGGCTGAGTAGCTGCGGCAGCATCACGAGGCTGCTCCACTACCAGTTGGGGCACCCCACTGACAGTGTCACTGTCGCACATCTCCCTACCCATGCCAGGAGGGGAAATCCTCGGCATTGGCACACTCTAACTGGAGGATCCCCCCTTCGTGGCCCTTGTGTTGTCCCCTATTCGTCGCCCGGCGCCAGCCAGAGCAGCCACCACCACCACCACCACCCCTTCCACCTTCTTTGTCCCTTTTGCAAGGAAAGAAGAAAAAAGAAGAAGGGCGGGAGATTTGTAATCAACATAGGAATGAGAGAGGGATGGGGTCAAAGCAGTTCCAGTACGCATCAGCATGGATTTCAATGAAATCACTTTTGCTTCCCCCTTCTGTTTCCCACGGCAGGTGCGCGGCAATGTACATATGCCTTCAATCACCGCACCTCTTCGTCTTGCAAAGAATGTGGTGAGTGCCTCAAATGCACCTGGAGAAAAACGTGCACCAAGAAAACGCTCAGACAATTAAAAAAAAAAAAAAATTGTCTCGTCTCTCTTTTTTTCCCTTTCGCTTGTTTTTCTTTTGACAGACACAAAACAAGAAATGCACTGCTCTAAATGTGACCAATTCACCGGGGGATATCTGCTTCTCTATAGGTAGACGCAGCCTTTACGGCGACAGGTCGTACCGCTTAGCCTCATTCTCGTTTAGATCACAAATATCGGCATCCACCTCCCTCATCTCCCGCAAAGCATCGCCGATAGACCTAGAGATCTCTTGCTCTATCAGCCGCAACTCCAAAGATTTGAGTGGATCGCGCCGGTTGAACCCTTGTCTAATCCCTATTCCTGGTATAACGACCTCCCCAACCGTCTTGTCGCCCTCTGCGTGTTCACTCGCAACAGGGCGTTGCCGTAGCTCCTTCTGCTGCTCCTTCACTTGAAGAAGCTCCTCACGCAGATCGTCCACCTGCTTCTTCAGTGTCTCAAAACGGTCCTTCAGATGGAAGCGTTTATCCATCGCGGCGTACCGTACACGATTCGCTCCGGTAAACCTCACTGGTTTTGGTGGCAACTCACCAAACTGGAATATCTGTCCGAGACGCTCCTTTTCGGCGAGTGTGAGGGGCTTTCGGCTGAACTGCGGTGGCTTGATGGGGCTGCGCGCCCGCATCTCCTGATAGATTACAGTTTCCTTTTTCTTGTGAGGAATCGCTTCGAGTCGCCTCTTGGCCCTTTCCTCTCCCGTCATGCGGTAGCCAATGCCTACACGAGGGCGGCTGATCATCGCCTTCGACTTGGGAACTGGCTTCGGGTGAATCATCGCCGCCTCCGCGGCCTCCCGCTCTGACCGCAGCTTCTGCAGCCGCGCGAGGAGCTCAGGGTCTAGCGTGCTCTCTTTGGTGGGCCTCGCGTAGCAGCGGTAGATAGCATCGCCAGCGGCTGTGCCGCGACCAAATATATTTGCTGTGGCCTGCAGGTTCCCTAACGCCATGTTTTACTCTCTCCTTCTCTATTTCGTGTATCTTTATTGCCTTCCTGTTTGTGTGTGTGTGCTTTTTTGGCTCTCTTTGTTTCTTTAAGTAAAAATATTCCCGTCTATACTCACCGCTTTGCGTTTCTCCCGATTTTCCTCCACTTTGTTGGCCTGTGGGGCGCTACTGTCAGAGCGGCCTGGATATATGAGCAGGGGACACACCGCCGCCACAACACACCCCGGATCTGTGCGACACGCGGAACATAGCAGGCGTGAGTTCAAGAAGAAAAAGAGCAAGAAAGGAATATAAATAAACATACACAGAGTCATATATATATATATACATATATATACCGCGTGAGGAGGAAGCAAAACAAAAAAAAATAGAGAAGGGTCCAAAATAGGAATTTGCATTGAAAATACGGCAAAGCGCCCTGCACGCCTCTTCCGCATACCTCCGGGTGAGAGGGTACGCTTTGGCATGAAGAACAAGAAATCAAAAAAAACAACAACTAAAGAGTGTGGGCGTAAGCTAAACGCACCTGACACCTTCGTTGCGTTTTTTTTCTTCTTCAGCCTTGCCCTTGTACGGGCCTCAGACCTCTCACAAAAACCGCGCTGACGCACGCGCAATGTTAGACCACTAGTAGTGTTGCAAATCCAATACGTACTCAAGCCTCCTAGCAGCCCTTTTTGTCAGGAACCGCGACCACATTTTGTGAATCATGAACGAGAACCACACACGCCGTCCAAAAATAGACCCGATAACCAAGAGCATCATTGAGTAGGCTGGGTACATGATGGCAATGTATAAAAAGCGGTACAACCATGGGCCATCTATCCATCCGCTGTTCTCCGGCAGTCCAAGGAAGCCGTCATTTACGAGGGAGCGAATCACAGGCCGCACTACCAGTACTGCCCCACTACCCGTAATGGAGAAGATGATACAGATGAGGATCTGTTCCTTCAGTGGGAGCTTAAACAAGCTGCCCTTCATTGGAACTCCCTTGACGTAAACAACATCCTTATGTGTGCGCCAATCCTTTCGTTGTGGCCCTTTTCCCGCAACCCTGGAGGAGGCATCTCCGGCCACTGTCTCACCAGCGCGAGAAGCCGCAGTGCCTTCCATCTTTTGTGTGCCGCATCGGCGGATAGAAGTGAAACAAGGGGCGCGTGGTGTCTTCTCCGAAAAACGAATGAGCAAACGACGCTGCATGATGCAAAGAAGTAGCTCGGTATGTTCCCCTTCACAGGGTTGTGACAACGATAGGCTGTATGAAATATGAAGAGGGAAGTGTTTCTCGTGGGCGGGTGGTGTCCGCAAGGCGTGGAGACTGGTGCTCTTTGATCTACGTACGCAGTGAAAATCCAAAGCGCCACACAAGGCGAAAACAGAAGAGATAAAAGACCAACGTGTAACAACAGTGATGAGCAATATGCATCTGCATTGTGACAAGACAGATATAAACAGGTAGAGAGAGAGAGAGAGAAATCCACACAACGTAGGGAACGTCCCCACCCAGGTCACCCCCTTCTCACAAAAAAAAAAAAAACAAGAGCAGCAAGCATTAAAGAAGGTGCTTTTATGACGACGCTCAATCCTTCTTCATTCATTGTGGAAAATGCAACTAGCTGAGATCCAGCAACTCTCCAGCCAAACGCAGTGCATCATCCAACATATTTCCCGTGTTGGCCTCTGAGTCACGTGCCGCGCCTTCCGCAAGTGGTTCTAACCGGGCCCGCTTGGAATGTCCGCCATTGTTATCCTGATTTCGTTCGCCCTCTTCCGTCGCGATAGCGTCGCCGCCAGGCACGGCAGTGCCAGCAGCCGCACGGTGCGCCGTCCCCTGCACGCTGCGGCTGTGTGCACGGCTCTTCCAGAGACTCTGTAGCTCTTCCAATGCCGCACGCTCATCATCAGACATGTCTACTGAAGAAATGTAGTGACGTCGATCTGCCTCGAGTTCCGCCTTTTCTTCCGCCGAGATGACAACCTGCGGCACAATGCCGGCGGAAAGCACACCGTCATGGTCAGGGTAGACAAAACGCCGCTCCCCGCTTAACTTGTGGTGTGACACGATCATAATACCCTTCTCAGTCGAAGAACACGAAGCATCTTCCACTCCAATATCAACAGCATCCGCAGCAGCAGATGATGATGACTGAGGTTCTTTCGAAAGCCCTGGACGCGCCCGAGTTGTTGTTGCTACCGCTGCCGCCGGCGGTCCGGCCAAAGGAGGCAGAATGGGCCCCTCACCTTCTCGCTCCGCCTCAATGTCTCCAACAAACTGGGACATGCCTTGAGATTTAACATATTTTTGAAATGCTGATCGCCATGTCGCGATGGTGTGCGGCAACACAACACATTCCTCACGGCTGCGGGTGTGACGCAGATCTGATAGTGAGACCTGCTGTCCTGGCGAATACGAGATAGCGGCGGGTGTGTTGAGGTGCACGAAGCCACTCCCTCTCGGCATCCCTTCACGTCGAAAGTATCACTGCGCTAAGCGTTCTTCTTTTAATCGTAGACCCTGGGAAACTCTTCCTAGCGCTTCTAACCAGAGAGAGAGAGAGAGAGGGAGAGAGAAAAAGAACCAAACCACAAGCGACATTTTGAGCTGTCGTTCAACTTATTCGTATGACCCAACAATGGAATCAGGCAAACATCAGTTTCAACCCCAGTGGAGGAATCTCTTACCAAGGTCTTCCCAATGTGTGATGCCGTTCGCACCTGAGCCACTCAGGCCTACGTACAGCAATCAGTCCGATTCGTCCAGAACCCCGCTCATGGATCCTAGCATAGGCGGAGCCACAGCATCGGGAGTGTCAAGCCATCCTGGTTCATGGCCATCCGCCATCATTTTTGCCTTTACCGCCGCAATTGGCACACGAAGTGCGAGCATCTCAAAGTAACCCTTCAGGCGCGGGTGGGTAGCCATGGTGAACCCGCCCAGCAGCGGCATCGGTGGGGGCGGCGGTGGCACATACCCAGAGGGCGGCTGCCCCGGAAGGACGGGCGGCGGTGGCAGCAGGAGCGATGGGGCGGCCAGTTGTACAGTCACCGCATCACCTGTACGCGCCTGCAATGTTGCGCCAGGCGGCGGCGGTGGCCCGTGGCGTTGCG